GGCAAGACTTGCTTCAGTGGGGCTTTGGTGCTCACTGAGTCTGCCCCCTGAGTGTGTCCTTTATGGATCCGAGGAGCTGCAATCTGGATGGTCCCACTTTGACCACCAGGCACACTGGTTCCTAGATCTCTAAGGAGGTGCTAATCTAGCTTCTGCCTGAGGCTACTCAGCAGAAGCTAGCTGTGAAGCAATGAAAGTTGCCCTTGGGCCTTGGGCCAGCTGCAGTTTGTTAAGTAATTTTCAGATTGCAAAGGGCTGGGCCTTTCATATGCAAAAGCCTCAGTGCACAGCTTGGGCAGGGCGGGGTCCCAGGGGATCAACAGGGCGGAGTGAGCAGTTATGGCTGCTCTCCGTCCTGTCCTCAGAGGCCCCACTTCTCAATGTCCTGGCAATCACTGCGAGCATCTCTGAGAGAAAGCTGCCCTCCAGTTCCAACTGATGCCAGACAGTCCCATTTCTCCCGTATGAGTCTGGGTCCCCAGAGACTCTCCCGGAACTGGAGCTCAGAGCTTGAGAATCCCTCCTGATTGAAAAAAGACAACTGTGTCCTCAGCCGCAAGCCCTCTCCACATGCACCTCCACACCTTTGTATTTTACTTCCACACCGCACCTCCTCTGAGCCTCGGTATGCTTTTCTCTTTCCTTCTAGTTGTAGAATTTCCACTCAGCCAGCCTTCCCATGGTTCTGGATGATGTCCGTTCCATATTTTAGTTGTATTTTTGAAGTGGTTGTGCGAGGCAGCAATCTCCGGTGTTTACCTATGCTACCATCTTGGTTTCTCCTGTTTTCAGGTTTTAAAAAAATAATTTAAAAAACACATTTTCCTAGAATTTCTGAATTTGTACTTTTAAAGTCCTAGAGTGGCTTCCTTCATTATGATAATTATAAGCAATTGAGATATTTGTAGAAAAATTTAAAATTATAAATAGCATTTAATATAGTGAACTATCCTTTGTTTCATATCCAAAATGCTACTATCAACTTTTCAGTATGGTAGGTGTATTAGTATAATTTGGGAGTTCCTATAACTCACTCATAACAATTTAAATTTCAGAGCAATAAAATATGGAAATTTAGAGATTTTTTTTAAAAACTGTCTTGAGCCTCTTCAGTGTCTTAAGGGTATTATCTTATTTAGACTTTCAGTAAGTCCTTTTGTGAATATTTTTATTCCAACATATCAACAACTATAAAGGTCATATTTCATATTATCCTTATTTAATATTATTATTTCATGCAGTATTCACAACATCTAGCTCTGAGGATTGATATCTGTTTTTCCTATTGTTTGATTGACTTATACCAGTTCTCATAATATCAAAAATGACAACATGAAGAAACAAAGAGGTTATGTAACTTGCCTGAGGTCAAACAGCTGGTTTGTGGCCACACATTTCTGAGGCTCTGATGGAGATAATGTAATTCATTTGTGAAAAGTATAACTCACTTGGATCCTTAAACAGCCACTGCCACAGCCACAGAAATTTTAACAAGCATTTACTTCAATTTATTTCTCTGTTGTATCATCTTTCCTCCACTCCTTACTTTCATTCTGTGAGAATTTATTTCTCATATGGCTAGGTCTGAGTTTAATTTTAGCATTACTGAGTTGCCCTAATAATGACATGGAATACTTGAGAGTGCTCTAGCATAAAGGGCCAATAAACACATATCCCCTGACTTCTGCTCACATTCTTTGGATACAGATGTCTAAGAGCAACCTTAGTTGTTTGTCAATTATTAGCTCCTTCTGAGTTAGAAAGAAACAATGCAGCCCAGTGAATTTTTGTATGTATTTGCTTTGTTTGATAAACTCAATACCAACAACAACCAAGGAAAGACATAGATATCATGATTTTCATTCTTTCTATTCTATTCAGACTGAAATTATATATATATATTTCTAAAGTTACCTTCATAAGTAATTATTAGTATAGTTTAGGAACAGGAATCTAAGTATGTCACCTTGGTTTCTGCTGAAAAGTCAGTCCTTAAAATGTAATGGTGGCATTCTAGTCAGGGCAGCTATACTGCTTTTGCCACAGTAAGCAGTAATCAGTATTTCTGAGCAGCTACTGTGATTTCAGACTCTCTGATAAAGGTTTCACTATTTTCAGACTCCGGCCTAATCACGTCAAGATATCAGGGTTTGTCAAACTGCTGAGATATTTAGAAACTCAGCAATCGGATTCACTAAATAATCCTTTACAATAGCAGCAGGACTCCTCGGACCCCTTTCCTTTTCAATAGGTTTAGGTGAATCATTTGATTGAGCTTGACCTCTTGTCTTCCTGTACCAGCTAAGACAGATTCCTAATTTAAAAATACCTGGGGAGTAAAATCGGTAGCATCTGGAAGGGAAGGCTTTGTAGCATCTGGAGCGATGAGAGCTTTTGATCCCCATTTCCCTGTAGGTCCCTGACTTTGCAATTACATTTGAAGGACTTCTCTATTGAATAATAGTTCCAGTCAAAGTGATATAATCACAAGAAAAATAAAAAACTTAAATGGAGACTTCACTTTTCTGTAATTATTCTTAATAAAATAAATGCTATATCTGGTTTAAATAGTTTTATTATGCATATTTAGGGTGTCTTGGCCCTAAGTAAGCATTTCAAAAACAATTCTTATCTGATATTTTTTTAAAATTTTATATCAAGTATACAGCAAAAGATATACTTTTATGCAACATATACAACTAAAATTTTTCTGGTAGCATCATGAAGCATCCTTATTACAATTCCTACAATCAACTGCATTCATTTTACAAATAAAAAAAAATGTTTCTGTAAATTATTGTCAGATTTTCACTGCAAAGTAGCAAAAGACGAAAATAGAATAGGAAAAGATGATGGAAAGTGCACACAGTGTGCCCAGAGCGGGCCTTCTGGAGAATTGACATAT